CACACACACACACAACGTTCTCTCTTTGCACCAAGGAATTCTCCAATCCCGTCTCCTCCCCTGCCTGTTGCAAGCTTTTTGAACACTGTTGCCGCCGTCCTCGTTCTGCTCACTACCTTTCACGTCCTTGGAATCTTTGGAACACACTCTCCTGTCTTCCCTTCTCTTCTTTTCCCAATGGACTGTACTGCCCAGACCTGTGTTTGCATCTTTTCTTTCTTCATCTCCAGTCCTGTGATTCCAATGACTTGTATCACCATGATTGTCCTCATCGTCATCCTCGTCATCATGATCAGTATCACCGTTTTGAGGTGACCGTCCATTATCGTCATGATCGTCATCATGGTCATCATCATCATGATCAACATCACCATTTTGAGGTGATTCCAAGTATCCCAACGATTCGTTATGACCGTCCTTATAGCCTTCCCCAGTTATAGCACCAATATAGTTTGTTGTTTCAACTGTGGTGTGGCGAGGCGGGGTCACTTGCAATGGGGAGGTTTAGTGCGTTTTTCTCTTCTTTCGGGGGTCCGGAAGGTTTAGTTGTGGTTTCGAGTGCTTTTCATCACGGTCAAAACCGTGGCCGTGAGATTTTCAGATCGGATGGCATGGACCACTGTATACTCGACACGAGAACTAAACCTCCCCAATCGGGGCGGTGGCCCGGGATGTAAGGAAGGACATACATTGTCAATGGGTAAGGCTTGGATCCCACAGTGCGTTTGGAAGAAAAAGTCGGAAAAGTACCCGTAAGAACGAATTTGGATCCCATAGGGCCGATGGGGAAGGCACTTCTCCACAAATTTTGCCGACATGCACTCCGTCCCAACGCCATCTACGGACATCCAACGGCCAACGACCACGAACCAACAACAGAAAAAAAGGAAAACCCAATTTTGCAGATGGACCTACTTTCAGGGGGATGGGGTAGGGGGAGGAAGCTTTTGGAAATTCGTTCACGAAACCAGCCACGACTCTCTCTCGTGCTGCCACGAAGGAGGCCCAGAGAAGAAAGAGCCGAATTATTTTCCCTGTCCGCTCACCGTGGAAACGTGTGGGATTTTTTTTTTTGCACGAAAGTACCCCTACTAAAGATTGTGGGATCCAAGCCTAAGACAGTCGTCTTTCAAAGCGGAGATGAGTGAACAAATGTCAACAAGCAATCTTCTCAGTCCCTTCTAGATTTAGTTACTTGGGCGTAGTAAACAACAGAATGCTTTGATACTGTGAGAATGATTACACACAATGGAACCAAAGAATAGAAGAAGATGCTTTGAGCATTAATATCGT